GCTCCTCATTGGTTGGTGTCTTCTCGTTACCGTGTTCCTTCGGAGAGCTGATTGGTTGTTCGGAGAGCTCCTTTGTGCCAGCGTTGACACATTCTGTAGATGCGCCACCCGACGTATCCACCTTAAAACAACGCGTTACTTCAAGTTTTGAGTAACAAAAGCGATCAAATCGAATCGCCATAACTAACCAGCAACGACTCGGTCTCTCTTATTTTGCCATTTTTGATAGCATTTCCATCATCATTGTCATCATCGTCATCACAATGAACACGCTTTCGATCATTAGTAAAACCCGTCTTTGTCATATCAGTATCATTCACAGTATTATCACAGTTATCTTCATTGAGCGTGGCATTAATAGTATCATTCTTTACAAAACTTATTGGTATGGAATTGGAGTGAAGAAAGGGACATTGTGCCGAGGCTGGTGGCTGATCATGCGCTTGGTTGTGCTTGGATTCTGGAAAGGTTTTAGATTGTTCTGATTGTTTATTCACTATGTGTTCTGCGTCAATTGATATCTCATCAGCGTTATTTGGCTTTGAACACTGATTCTCGATCGGTTTGGTTTGTTGATCAGGTGACTGACGATTGATATTATTAGATGCTGGACGGCTATTGTCTGAGTTTGATTTGATTTCAGACGAGGAAGCAGTATCATCTTTGGATTGTGCTGATATCTTGCGTTTTTTAGATCGTTTTTTTGGATGATGGGAGGGTGGTGGAGGGGGAAACGTAGTGGGCGATAGGGCGGAGGGTTGCACTGCAGGGCAACTCTTATTGATGGATGATCGTCTTGATCTGCCGTGTTGTTTCGAAGTGCTTGACGTTGCCTGGGTGTGATTCAGCTGATTCATAAGTGCGTTACGCAGAGCCAACAACTGCTCTATGTCTGCGTCTTCGCTCACTTCCATTTGACGACGTGTTCAGACGACAATATGCATTTAGTTATCTGAAAATTTTCATGTTTCATTTCACATTTTACATGAAAACTTTCATTCCATTATTCAGATTATTCACTTCAGTTATACATTCATTCGCGATTTCGGATGGACGAGAAAAATTTCGGATGGTGAAAATATGATAGTGTATGAGGTGATTGATTGAAGTGATAAGGAGAGATAATTGATGAAATGATGACGGTGATGTTCGGAGATGGAAAGGATTTGTTATTCGACAGATTTGTTACTTTGTTTTTTAATTGTCA